AGCTTGGCCAGATATAAAATCCAGGGAACTTGAGGGCAGAACCCACAACAGGCTAGAACGTACAAATGCAAGAAGAAAGTGCGTTACTTTAAATGCAATCATTTCTTTATGAAAATTTTGGTATTATATATATTTTGACAGATAAAATAAACAATAGTTTTAATAGCATTTTCTAAAGTACTAAGTAATTGTTAGGTCTTCAAAGGACTCTAACCTGCACATCACCTGATCGGGTAATGATTAAAGAAAATAATTCAACGTGGCTAAACTCAACTGATAGAGACTTAATGCCCATTATGTAAATGAAAGTTATGGAGTCTTTATATATAAATAAAAATAGGACATACTTGACTTGTTTCACTGTCATAATACAGCAATTGCTGGAAAGTCGTTACACAAAATAGAGAATTAAAAAGTAAAATATTTGAACCAGTAAGTGTTATAGAATCCATTACATTTAAAATCACTCTGGGCTAAAGTTCCTTATATTAAATCACTGTTGTTAGGTGTCATTGAGTCAAGTAAGACTCATATTAACCCTATGAACAACAGATTTGAACCCTGTCCTATCCTGTACTATCTACACAATTTCTGATACACTAGAGCCCATTGTGGCTGTCACCATATCAATCTATCTGGTCGAGGGTCTTCCTCTCTTTTGCTGACCCTTCACCCTTTCAAGCATCATGTCCCAGAGTGCAAGAAATAGGCTCTTTTAGCAACATGCTCAAAGTATAAAAGGCTAAGCCTCATCATCCTGCCTCCAAAGAACACTCTGGCTGCACCCTCTCCAAGATATATTTGTTTGTTCTTCTGGCCATCCATGGATGGGATGGATGTTCAGTGCTCTTCTACAAAACCACAGCTCAAGGGCATCAATTCTTCTTCTGCCATCCGTAGTCACTGTTCAGCTCTCAGATGCATAGTAAGAAATCACAAAGATCATGGCTTGAACCAGATTCACCTTAGTCCTCGAACTGACATTATTACTCCTCAATAATTTGGAGAGGTCTCTAACTGCAGATTTTCCCAGTGCAGTGTGCCTCCTGACTGCTGGTGCCAATGGGTGTTACTTGTGGATTCACGTAACAAGAAGTCATTGACAATTTCACTCTCTTCTCCATCCACTGTTATGTTACTCATTGGTCCAGGGGTAAGAATCTTTGTTTTCTTGACAATGAGATGCAATCAATACTGAAGACTGCATTCCTTGATCTTTTCCACAGGTGCTTTAAGTCATCCTCACTTTCAGCAAGAAAGGTTGTGTCATCTGCATAACTCAAGTTATTTAGTAGTATCCCTCCAATCCTGGTGTCACATTCTTCTTCTTAGAGTCCGGCTGTTTGAATAATTTACTCAGCATACAGATTAAACAGGTATGGAGAGAGAATACAACCCTGACATGCTTCCTTCTGTTTTTCTTTATTTTTATCATGGTTTGCTCAGAAAGTTAGTATCCACTGTGTTTCAAATTATTCATTCTTATTTTGTTTCACTGTATTCATTCTCATGCATTATGTTTTATAAAATCAATCATTACTGGACCTTGCCCATCATTACCCAAACTTTTCAGGTCTCTGCCGGATTCTTCCCATTTCCTTCATCCCCTCCTTCCACTCACCAAACTGTGCAAACCTATGGTTGTGCCTTTACACTCATCCTCACCCCTCTGTTCCCACACCTTTCCCCTTTCGGTCTCCAAACATGCTGTACTAGTTATCCTTCTATTTTTGCAATAATGGTCTTATGCTGTATTTGTGCTTATCAGACTGAGTTAGTTCACTCACCTTAAATCATTATCAAACTATTATATTAAGAGCTGATCTTAAATGAAGGATCGCACTTGGGCTAGAAGAAGGTGCATAGTAATAAAACTTAAAGACAGGGACAGTTAAGATTTGTATGACACAAATTTCAGCTTCGAGGTTCCACTAAATATAAATTTAAAAAAAAAGTGCCAAGAGATGCTAATCATTTCTGTGTGAGCAGATTCTCCCTTCTTTCAACTTTGTATGGCACTAAAAAGTGATTTCTTCTAGGTCTGGAGCACTTTACATCATGTCTGGTGTACCCCTGTCGACCAAGAATAACAACACAGGCCCCATACAAAATGTCCCTAAGAAGTAAAACCATGACGTTAAAAAAAAGCTGAATTGCCCAATTTGAGCTAAATGTTGAGGCCTGCAACTTTAGCTGTTGCTATTTCAAGCTAAATACAGCGTAAGAATCACAGTTGGGCTCAGGTGGACTTCATTTCAAGAAAAGAAATGAAAATTAGAGAAGCTGGTGCTGCCGCTATGCCAGCAAGCTTGAAACTCTTGCATAGTTTTGTCAAATACTTTTTATCTCATATCAAAAATGCAGCTTTTATGTGAGTGCAGAGAACAAGCAGGTCTGTCTTGGAGAGGGTAAAATCAAGTTTCTCCTTGAAGGCTAGGATTTTGAAGCTTTGTCTCATATATGTTGGGCACGTGGCCAGGAGGGTCTGATCCTTGGAGAAGGACATCATGCTCAGAAGGGTGGAGAAACAGTGCGAAAGAGGAAGACCCCTGATGAGATACTCTGACATAGTAACTGGGGCATTAGGGATAGGTGTATTGGAGTCAGTGACACTGGCTAAGGACAGGGCAGGCCTCAGAGCTGTTGTACGTGTTTGTTGTTGTTGTTATGTGATATTGAGTTGCTTGCGACTCATAGCGACCCTATGTACAAAAGCCCTACACCATGCTTATCCTATGCCAACCTCACTGTCTCTGACACACCTACTCCCATTACCCCAATCACTGAATCGATCCATATCATCGAGGGTCTTCCTCTCCTGTGCCGTCCCTCCACCCACCCAAACGTGATGTCCCTCTCTAAGGTCTGGTCCCTCCTTGCAACATGCCCAAAGTATGTCAGATGAAGCTTCAGAATCCTTGCCTCCAAGGAGCAGCCTGGTTTTACCCTTTCCCGGCCAAACCTGTTTGTTCTCTTAGCAGTCTTTGGTATATTCAACACTCTTCTGCAGCACCACAGCTCAAAAGCATACTGGTTAATCCCTAGTGTCTAGTTCTCTGTTGTATGTAGGGTCACTCTAAGTCGCAGGTGACTCAACAACACATAACAACAACAATATACAAAATATATGTTAATCATCAGTTTATTTTACCAACAAGGTTTCTTGTCAACAATGGGCTATTAGCAGAAATGATTTTGTGGATTCAATAGTTGTATATGGATTTTTTCAATTGTATGAAGTTGACATCATTACTCACTAGCTGTTTACGGGTCAACAGTAAAAAGGGTTTTGAGGATTTTGTTACACTTTAATTGCTTCTAAGTGTGAGGTGGCTATTGTTTTGTGCCATTAAGTCATCTGCAACTCATAGTAACTCTTTGCACAATAGCTCTGAATGCTACCCCATCATGGGCCAATCTCACTGTCTTCAACACATTTAACCTATTACCCCAGTTATTTGGTTAATTCATCTCATTCAGGGTCTTTTTCTCCTGTGCTGTCCCTCTACCTATCCATACAAGATGTCCTTCTCCAAGGACTGGTTCCTCCTTGCAACATGCCCAAAGTATGTCAGATAGAACTTCAAATTCCTTGTCTCCAAGGAACAACTTAGTTTCATCCTCTTCACGACAGACTTGTTTGTTCTCTTGTCAGTCGATGGTGTATGTTCAATATTCTTCTCCAGCATCACACCTCAAAGGCATCGATTCTTCTTCTGTCATCCTACTGACTGTCTAGCTCTCTGATTTATAGCAAGTAATTGCAATGACCATAGCACATGGATGAGGCACCCCTTAATCTCTTGACTGACATCATTGCTCTTCAGCACGCTGGAGCGGTCTCTGGCAGCACATCTTCCTAATGCAATTTTCTCCTTTGATTTCCTGACTAATGGTGCCAAGAGTGTTGTTGTGAAGATGTGCCATATATTTAATAAAACACTATCATTCACCAAGTATATCAAGAAAAAGAGGTATGAAGTATTTAAAGATCATGGGGCTTCGTCTGACATATTTGGACATGTTGCCAGGAGGGATGGGTCCTTGGAGAGGAACATCATGCTTGGGAGGATGGAGGGATGGCGCAGGAGGGGAAGACCCTCTATGAGATGGATTGACTCGGTGACTGGGGTAATCGGGATGGGTGTGTCAGAGGCAGTGCGGCTGGCGCAGGATAGAGCAGGGTTTAGGGCTGTTGTGCACAGGGTCGCTATGAGTCACAAACGACTCAACGGCACACAACAACAACAACAAATAAATACACACACACACACAAATATAAACAAAACATGCTGGTAAGTCAAACTACATAATATGGAAACACAGAAAAATAAGTGTCCCATAAAGGATTAAATCATCATTGCTATCATAAAGGAATTTCACTCAAGCTCTTCTATCTTGTTGCTATTAGTTGTTGACGACTCCCACCCATCATGACCAGCAGAACAGAGATAAAAACCTTGCCCTGCTCTACATCATCTACACAATCTCCATTTCTGTAATTATTATCATCAAGCCACTTCACTGAGGGTCTTGCTCATACAGTACAGTTTCTCAAATTATTTGCTCAGCATATATGCTGAATGGTGAAATGACAGAATCATGGGACACTTCTTTCCTAATTTTCAATCATGAAGTATCTATCCCTTTGTTCTTTTCAAATGACTAGTCCTTGGTCTACATACAAGTTCCACATATGCACAATTAAGAGTTCCGAGATTCTCACTCGTGTACATTCTATCGTTGTTTGCTGCAGAGTCAGAACTGACCCATAGCTGATCCTCCAGAGAGTTTTCAGAGGCAGCAAATCACACAGGAGGAGACTTGCCATCATCCTTCTGTATAGCTCCTGAAGATTCACCCCAAAATACCTTTGCATAGTCAATTAAACAAAAGTAAACCATTTTCTTGTCTTCCACATTTTTAGCCAAGATCTTTTTAACACCAGCAATGACAACTCTCCATGGTACAACCACCATCAGTATTTAAAAGTCACTTACCTAAAACTCCTATAAGGAGTGATTATTTCAAAACTTTGCTTCACAGTTCGGTCCACTTGCTTTACATTTGCTACATTCATAGGAATTATGGTAATGCCAAGTCCACTCTTAAAATCCTATGTTAGAAGGGGGGAAAGTTTAAAAACTTTAAAATAGAGAAACAATGGATTCTCAAACTCTAATCATATTTTATAATTAGCTCTACTGCATTTTACTATGCACGTGAGTATAAACACGGTAGTTGCTGCAGCAGTGTACCACAGAGTTGGAACCGCTCTATTCTGACCCTCTGGGGCAGGTTTCCAGAGGCAGTTAATAACACAGAAGGAGACTGTCCATCCTTCTTCCACAGAGTAGCTGGTGGCCTCGAACCACATGCCTTTGGCTTGCAGCGCAGCTTCTTGCCACTAGGCCACCAGAGCTCCATAAATGTGGCAAGGGTCATTTAAAAAAGAAATTTGAGAGTTGTTTCGTCATTTCAGGTGGTCACTTCAACTCACTCAATGCCATTCCAACCTTGACAAGTGGGCAACTGATAAAACAGGAGGATTTCTTTACACAGAAAGTAAATAAACTAGGCCATAGATCTTGAATAACATGTGTCAATCTTAAGAACAGTTGAACTATAGACACCTTTATCCACTTAGTCAAGGGAAAAAGTTAATTGCTATTTCACTTTAAGCATTTGCCTAGGTGGAAAACCAAAAGAACTGTGATGTCGCGATAATTAATAGTCTAAGAAAGGAAGAATCAAACCATACAGCAGTTACATCCTAAGTGCATCTTGTTCTGTTAAGAAGGAAAGAACTAAACACTTGTTATCTAACTACCACATCGTTGTCTTATCACATTAGTTTTGCTTTGTCACATTACTTTTCTCAAATAGAAGTATTATTTGTTTTATGAAATATTTAATTTTATCTCACGTCCTATATTTTATTACGCGCACGTTAGTTCTATCAGAGTCATTGAAAAATTCCTCAAACGTTACTTTGGTACAAAAACTGACACACATTCAACAACTACAGCAGCTGCACGCAGCGTATCTCACCAGAATTTTCACCAGGCCAAAGCCTGCACAAAGTCAGCATTCGAAAAACACTGACATCTACAATATTACTACTTAGTCACATGGGTACTGGAATGTCATTTATCAGATAACGGCGATGTTTTTTAAGCAAAAACTGTATTTTGTGCCACTAAAAAATATCTACATTAAGTAATTTCAGGGTCAGTGTGTTCTGAATGCTTAAAGAATATCACGGTAAGAAAAAGTGACCATACTAAATTCCAACTACAAAAATATGGTAGACCATTTTCAACACGGAGAAGTGTGATAGAGACTGTGAAAGAAGCAATTCACAGATCTTCTGCTCTTTATCTCTCCAGTATCACAGGCTCAAAAAATGGGGGTAGGGGAGCCAACCCACTACCTTCTAAGCTGAGTAGTGATACATCATAGTTCTGGTGAATAAACATAAAAAGTCTTGATTGGGGGTGGGGAGGTGACATCTTGGAAGAAAAATGCCTTCTACTCCCTGCCTTTCTTGTTTGTCGGGAAATGTCAACCAGACACTCAGGAGCCATTCTCTTATTGTTATTGTTATTGATGTTGTTGTTGCAATAAGTTGTTATGTTGACACTGACTCACAGCCACTCCACACAGATTGAAAGCTAGCCTGATGCTGTGCCATCCTCACCTTCGTACTGCGCTCAAGTCCACTCAACAATCATCATCGCAAGTCTGAGAAGAACTTTATATATATATATATATAATTTATTATATTTTATTTTATTTTTGCTTCAAGATCCTTTACTTTTGTTTCCCATTTTTTTGTTTGCATACAATCATATATATATATATATATAAAATGTTTCATGTATACACATCGTGTTTTATACAATACTTCAAAGGTCTAGAGATGGGAGAGTAATAGGAAGAGAGAAATCTTATTCACAAGCATTAATTGATGGGAGAATGTATGCCAAAGTAACATAACAAACATGAGTGCTCTAGAGAGCTATTAAAATGAAAATAGTCTCATTCCCTTTCAAAATATGCTCTGTAACATTAAGTAATTTGTTTAAGTCAATAACTAGAATATATTTTGAACTACAATGTAACTATCATTCCTAGACTCATTCAAAATTACCTGTAGATCTCTCTCTTTCATGAATCAGAGGAGAGGCCAAGAAAATTAAGTTTTTAAAAGTAAACTATAAACACCTGGTTCTCATTTGTAGCTACTACTGGGAAAAGAAATTATAGAGCAGAGTCAGTCGCTGAATCTAGAGAGTATGAGCCTACAGTAGTTAAACAGATGAACACTTTTTTGTGCTTTATGTAAAGCAAGAAAACAATCACTTTCTATAAAAAGCATCTGAAACTCCTAAGATTATAGGTTACAAAAGGGTAGCTCAGGTGACCTAGTAATAAGAAGATGCACTGCAAACCCAAAGGCACAGGGTGGGTCAAATTCACCAGCTATTCCATGGGGAACAGACTGGCACTCTCCTCCCGTGTGATTAACTGCCTCGGAAAACCCACTGGAGGGTCAGCTTTGGATTAATTCAGACCCAATGGCACACAACAACAATAGGTTACAAATATTCATGCCAGACATGCTTGCCAACAAAGTGAAAGGATGGACTGTCAGGATCTTGTCTTCCCTGAGTATCAAGCCTGTGCTAATAGACAAAGGTTATCAAACCACCAATCTTCATGAAGCACATACAGCAAACTCTGGAATTGATTTATATTAACCTCAGCAGTGTTTCAAAATTTGCAAACAATTATGAAAATGGAGAAATTAAACCTAGTAAAGTCATATAGAGTAAGCACTTAAGTGTGTGCCAGGAATTGTGCTGGGTCCATACAAAATAAGCACCTGCACTCAGGGAAGATATACTAAGAGAATGAAAATTATAAATTAAAGGGTTGTTGCTGTTGATTGCCTTCGAGATGAGCACGACTCATAGCGACACTATGAGTTTATAGAGTTTCTGGAAGCATGTCGTTTAGGAAGTGGATGCCACTCCTGCTTCTAGAAATTAAAGGGTGGGGGAACGAAATGTATGATCATAGAGGAAGCATCTAGCACAGAAAAGCAGAAGTTGTATTCTTAAGAACCTTCTCAAAGAGGATGACACTTAAACTGTGTCAAAGACCAAAAGAGATCAGTTAATATCAGTAACTCTAAAACTCACTGAGTTATACAAACAATAAAAAGTAGGCTACACACCTATTTATAATCTGTTTTTTTACAGTGAAAAGAATATAAGGTAACTTGTGTTGACATCTCAGTAGTAATGCTTACAATATAAATATTCTTTGTCTCTCATGTAGAAGAAACATGAAACCGTAATAGAAGCAATTTAGTCACAAGATTAACTAGAAGGATCAACGACACACACACACACACACCCCAAACATGTAAGACAATTAAGTGTAAAAGAAAAGTAAGTTTGAAAACAAAAACAATGAAAAGGTTTTCTAAACATAGAGTTTAGGTAGTCAAATAACAGAATAATCTTGATTTTCTAAAAAACATGCCTAGTTTCTTTCCAAAAAAGGAGGAACACGCTATAAATGCATACATGCACCATTTGTTGTCACTGAAAAAAGCTATGCTGTACAAATTTAACAAACTCTGTCAACTACAATTCTTCCAAAATTTGACTAAACATTACATATTTGAAACCATCATCACTGTTTCTCAAGCATTTGGTTAACGTACATTTCATTTTAAAATTACAAAATTAGACTTTCTTTCCATGTAAAAAGTCACTTACAGATGTCATTTCACAACCCAGGAGAAATCCTTTCAGTAAGATCCACACTGCTAGTATCTGTGTGAGTTCAGTGAACACTAGGAATGTTAAATATAATGATTGGCAATCCATATCTATAGCTCAGTTAATAAAATGTGAAACTTTTTTTACTGTTCCTATTTGATGAAATGTACCTAACATGTCCCCATTCTATACAACAGTTTTAACTTGAACATATTTTCACCTATCAAATCTTTCTCCTGTATTTTTCCCATCCCTCAGCTCCAAGAACTGGAAAACGTTAAAGAGGATTCTTGGCAATATAGTGTCTTTGTTTTTGCAAATCAGGGGGGAAAAATAGACACAAAAGTAGAAATAAAGAACTAAGATAAATGAAGATAAAATTATATATGTAAAAAATGAAATTAAGGTTTCAGCTTTTAATTAAAATAGCACAAAATCTGAAGGATGCGACTGACTAGTTGTAACAACATCCTTTTATTTCTACATATAATCCATTTTAGTCAGTTAGGGAATCATGGAAGTTTTTTATATAGTCTGACATATAATTCCATTCATTTTTTGCATTTATCTGAGAATATGAAGTTATTTGTATTTACACTATGTATTCAGCATTTCTTAAGCTCAAGGAACTGAAGAACAAATTCAAACCTCGAGTTGCTATAATCAAGGATGCTTTCGGCAGAATATTAAATAATCCAGGAAGTACTAAAAGAAGATGGAAAGAATATGCTGAATCACTGTAAAGAAAGGAATTGGCATACACAGAAGAATCTCATGAAACAACATATAAGCAAGAGCCTATGGTGATGAAGGAAGTAGTTGAGGCTGCATTGAAGGACATGGCAAAAAAATAAGGCTCCAGGAATAGATGGTATACCAATTGACATATTTCAGTTAATAGATGCTGCCCTGGACATGCTCACCAAGTTGTGCCAAGAAATCTGGAGAACGACCACTTGGCCAACTCACTGGAAGAGATCGATATTTGTTCCTATCCCAAAGAAAGGTGACCCAACAGAATGTGGAAACTACAGAACAATTTCACTGATTTCACATGCAAGCAAGATTTTACTGAAGATTATCCAAAAATGACTGGAACAGCACATCAACAGAGAACTACCAGAAGTCCAGGCTGGTTTCAGAAGGGGTCGTGGTACTAGAGATATTGTAGCTGATGTTAGATGGATCTTGGCTGAAAGCAGGGAATACCAGAGGAATGTCTATCTGTGCTTCACTGACTATGCAAAGGCATTTGACTGTGTGGATCATAACAAACTATGGCTGACTCTGAGAAGAATGGGAATCCCAGAACACTTGATCG